AATTCCCATAAAACATTGTGTGTGTTAGAACTGATGAGGATGAGCAGGGTCCTGTGGGAAGATGAGGACTTTCCGAAGTGATGGTGGCCCGTGAGGGGAGGGATGTGCTCTACGCAGAGGGAGCTCAGCAGGCAGGACAGGCAGCCAAAGAAAAGCCAAGAGAGGGAGTCAGGATGACCCAGTGAAGGCCAAGATAAGATGAGGCCAGGGGTTGAGGGCTAACAAAAAGCCAGGCCCCAGTGGCCCGACAAACAAGGGACCCAAGTAAAATTAGTGGGCTCCTCCTGTCCAGGAATGTGACAAACACAAGGTGACAGCCAGTACCACCAAGCCTCTACTCATACCCCTCCGAAGAGTGCCTTTGTCCTGCTTGTGCTGATAATTTTAGAAAAGTTACAATTACAATTAATGGTGCTTGCAAACGTATGCTTGCCACATACCCCAAGTTCCTGTAGGCTCCCTTCTAGTCAAACTTTCCGGCTTATGACCCCATAGGTTAACTTCAACTTGGCCCAGAGTGGTCTGAGATGTGGTCATTTTTGTGTATAAACCCCCCTTTTGTCCCCATGGCAACCCAGTCAGGTCTCTTCCTGGTACTGAGGTGCTTTCTGCTGTCACTGTCCAGTAGGTAAATGCTTTTTTTTGGTACCGGGCATTGAACTCTCTGGACCTTGCGCTTGCGAGGCAGGTGGCAGAACCACTGAGCTAAATCCCTGGGCCCAAGTAAATGCTTTTGCTCATGTCTCTTTCGACTCTCTGCCGTGTAATTCTTTCTGGACTGAGAGAAGAACCCACCATCCGGACATAAGCTAATAACCTAATGAACACCTCTCCCATTTGTTTTTTACTTCTCTTGCCGGATCTTCATAATTCATATCTCTGCCTTGGCAACTAAAAAGACACTGAATGGAACATACTAAGGACGTGGCCAGAACTGGTTCTTAGTGCATTTTGTGTAATGAGAAAAGAGAGATAGAAATATTTACAAGCCATGAAAAAGTTTGAGAAAGAACTTTTTTGGGAGGCGGGGTTCGGGCTGGTTTTGAACTCATTGTGTAGCCAAGACTGGCCTTAAACTTGCAGTGATCCTCCTGCCTCTGCCTCCTGAGTGTGCCACCATGCCCAGCCTTGAGGAAGAACTTTGAAGCCAGTTTATCCAGGTTAAAGACTGTTTCTATTTTTAAAAAGCTCAGATCAGAATAACTTCAGATCCTTATCTGACACATAAGCTAAGAGCTAGGATTTGACACCTCTGCTGGTTTCCATAACTACCATCAGTCAAAACAAGAACCAGAGGACTCAGAAATTTTACTTTTTTTTAGTGGCCAGATTATAGGCAATTTGAAAAGAAGATGCACAGCACACTTAACCTATCTTGTGTTTTCAGTTTTCCCTGGTAATGTGGGTGGATTAGCAAGAGGCGAAGTGAAGGCTCCTCTCTCCCTTCCTAGCTTGGTGTTCTTCTCAACTGTATTTCTTGTGACTCCGAGGAGATTACTTGGTGCCCTAGTTCCGATTATTCAAGTGGATCTGTCACCATTCTTGGGGATGGTGGATTAAAATAGCCCTGTGTGCTTGTTTCATAAAGAGGCTCACGTCGTGTTTTTCCTAAAGAAGCAATTCCAGAGAGCAGACTCTGCCTGAGAACTGCCTTCTGCACATAGGGGCCACAGGCTAGGGGTGTCAGGGCTGGGACAAGGACACGGAGGCAGGAATGCCAAGTTAGCTCCCAAATTCTCTGGAGACTTCTGCATTCTCCTTGCCTTCCCAAATTCTTCCCCGGGAACATTGAGCCTCAAAGTGATAACATCGCATGCTTGTGCAGCATCTTTCTCACATCTTGCCTTAGACAAAGCCTTCTTCCAGAAAATTGCCAAGAGTCTGAGGCATTTCTAGAGCAGATGAGAACTATGCAGTCCTGAGCAGTGTAACACCTAAGGGAAGGGATAAGGTCTTATAACCACCTGATTCACCTGTGCAGATTCCTGTTTCACCTAGACTCACTTTTTGACTTAAGGAAGAGAGCTGTTTTATGGACCAGCACTCTGAGGTTGGATGTATGGCATTATTTGGAAGATAGAATAGTGCAGTGGCTATGGGCAAGAGCCCTAGTAGCAGAAAGACCTGGATTTAAATCCCAGTTCTCCTCTGCCTAGTTGTGTGAACCTCTGCTCATTACTTAATCTCCTGAGCCTCAGTTTTCTTATCTGTAAAGTGGGAATAAGGATATAGCACCTCATGAAGTTGTTATGATGATTAAATTAGGTAATGCATATAAAGCATATTGGCACACAGTAAACTGCCAATAAAGTTTAGCTCTTATTATTATAAGTAGTCACAGGATCACTCTACTCCTAGCAGCATCTCATATATACAGCAATATACAGAAAGTTTAAATCCTGAGACATTCCAGAGTTTCTAAGCCTGAACACAGTAGCTCCTCAAATTTTGGCTGGATCGGTGAAAGAGCAAAGGTCTGGGTATTTCATTCTTTTGTGTTTGGCATAGAGATTTGTTTATTCTGTGCTCACTGTGTGCTGGGCATGGTGCTAGGCAACACAATCCATGATGTCACGAAGTTTAAAATCTTGTTGTGGAAACAAGGCCAATAAATATAACATGCCTAAGCAATACAAGACAGGCTATGTTGCTCAACTGTACTTCCAGTAGCAAGTGTATGAGAGGTAAGTGGGGAAAATTAACAATAACTGAGTCCTATTATGTTCTACGCCCTGGATTAAAAACATCACCTCATTTAAGTTTTCATTAATTCTGTGATGTTGCATATCCCCACACGAGGGCTCACACTTGGACTCTGAGATTCAGTGACTTCCCATCCAGAACTTGAACCCAGGCCCCCTGGCCCTTAATCCTCCCAAATAGAAGCAGGGATCATGGACCCAGCCTTGCAAAGAGGAAACAGGAAGCCAGAGGGTTAAGTACTTGTCCGAGGCCACTGAAATAGTTTAGGTTAAGCTGGGATAGAAACACAGGTGCGTCCATCTCAAGCCTCTTTGTTCCTCACAGCCTGGCCTGGATGCCAGAGGGCAAAAGCTTGTGTGCTCATGAGAAGTTGGCACCCGGACTGTTGCACTAAAGCTACTGAAGAAGGTGGGACAGGCTGTACTTGAGCCACAGTGACCCTTCCCAGCCAAGGACAGCCAGCCCATTTTACAGATGCAGATGCTGAGGCCCCGAGCAGCTCATTCCTGGCTCCCCACCATCCTTTGGCCTGGGCTCAGCTCCCCTCACCTGCAAGCCTCTCCCTCCCATTCCTTAGGACCTGTCTTTCCCACCTGTCCAGAACCACCCTGGGGACCCTGCAGCTAGGACAGTCTGGCAAGGGGTCAGGTAGGTACTACACCAATGCTGATTGTGATCATTTTCCATTTCCTGGCTCCAGGTAGCATTTGGTAAATGTTGAACAGATGAAGACCTTGAGTAAACCAGAGCCACCCAGGGTAAAGATGTGCGGATTACTCTGATAACCTGCAGGAAGTCAGACTATCTGCTCTGGCCTTTTGTCCAGTAGCGCCATCTTGTGGTCTTCTACAGGAAATGCACCAGGTCAGGCTCAGGGACACCCATCAGGGATTGAACAGACTAAATGGGACTGGGGTGTGAACAAGCCTTGTGGGGAGCAGTTTAACTTTGCGCAGGAAAATAATGCTGATAGGTGACCCAAAAGGATTTTTCTACCTCCACAGTGAATGTGGAGAATTGAGTCAAAAATCCACCACCTGCCTCGCAAGCGCAAGGTCATGAGTCCGATCCCTGACACACACACACACACACACACACACACACACACACACACACACAAAGGAATGGAAATTATACAACCAGGAAGTCTTACGGTCGCTAGAGAATGGGTAAGATCCTCCGGTCCCTTTTTCACGAGCAGATTGTCTAAGAACAGACAAAACCGGCACACTTGCCATCTGAGACACGAGTAAACACTTTCACAATGATGATCACAATCGCAGGACCTTGCCCAGGCCACCAGCTCCACCTACCCCAGAGAGGAGGTGCAGGCGGACCGGCCTTGCAATCCAAGGTGAGGACACCGCCCAGCAGCGATAAGACACCTTCCCGGAGAGAACCACGAAGCTCGGAACTTCACAGGAACAGCTGCGCCCAGCGTTAGGCCTTTATTCTTCCTCTGGGTCAAGGCCCCTCAGCCCAATCCTAATCAAATTGTCATTCACAGTCGAGTCCAATCACATGATTATTCCTATCCTTATTTAATTGTCCTGTGCAAATAGCTCCGGCAGTCTAATTTGAGTAGTTTAGGTTTCCAGGTGGGTGGCTCTCTTAGGCATCCGTGATTCTGACCGGAGCGGGGGCGGGGGGAGAGCATTTCAGGAAGCGGGACGGGTCAGGTAGAGCTGTGTGGGCCGAGGAGAAGGCAGTCCCGCATCCGGAACTCGCCCTCACCGTCCTGTCCTGTGGTTTGGATCCGGACTGCATCTCCAGGCACACGTGTTACAGCCTCCCTCCACCTCTCGGTGCTACTGGGAATGAACCTGTGAGAGTTTGATCGCTGGGGTGGGCCTGGCCTGGAAGGGGACGGCGCCGCCCTTCTTCTACTGCTTTTTCTTTGTTCCCTGGCTTGTGAAACCGTGGCTGTGCTCCACCGCATATTCCTATCATGACGCACTGCCTCACCACAGGCCCAAAACCTTCAAGGCCCACCGGTCATGGCCTGGAACCTCCAAAACTGTGAGCCAAAATAAACATTTTTTCCTTCTTTCTTCCTTCCATTCTCTCTCCCTCCCTCTGCCGCATATAGGGAATTGAACCCAGGGGCTGACACGCACTAGGGAAGTGCTTTACCCCTGAGTTATACCCGTGGCTGGCTTTGCTTTTCCTCTTCTCTCTCTTTCTTTCTTTTTCATTTTGAGACAGAGTCTCATTAAGATTGGTCTTGAACTTGTGCTCCTCCTGCCACAGCTTCCCGAGTGGCTGGGATTACAGGTGCTCATCACCACACAGTTAAACTCTTTCTCTCTGTAAGTTTATTTCTCAGGTATTTTGTCACAGAGATAGAAAGCTGACTAGAATGCCCATTAGTAACCAAGGACACACTTGGCTAGATGATGGTGCAAGTATTTCTTTATTTTTCCCCTTTAGATAATTTTTTACTCTGCAGAAACCACCATGGCTTGGCACCTTGAAGACCCCCCTTCCTCCCCTACCCATTCTCTACCCCTCAGATTCCCCTCCCCTTGCCTCCTGCATTGTAGCTACTTCCCACCAATACCTGTGCTTGCCTTGGACACTCAGGGGCTTTGGAGCAGAACACCAGGAGAGTGAACTTCTCTCATATTAACATTTACCGCTAGATATGAATGCATGCTTTACAATGCTGGAAGACCCTCTTCCCACAGGGTGCCTGTGTGCCTCCTGCACTGTCCAAGAAAAATCATGGACATGCGGTCAAGAAGAAAGATGGCAGCTGTGGCTCTTGGTGCTTACCTTGTATTCCTATATCGCATACATCCCTGACAAGATGGCACACTCATAAGCAAGGTAAAGGCTAGCAGGACTCTTGTACTTGTAAATGTTTCTGCTGGTCTAAAGATGACTTACAGGTAGTTTATGAGGATGAGCTCAGCAAGATAGCAAAACATAGACTCAGTTTGTCCCCTGAGTAAGACCAACAGAGCTGTGACTGGGCTTAGGCTAAAGATGCTGTGGGGTGCAGAGTCATTGTTTATAGCCAACACAATAGGAAGAGTTGTTAGGAGAATACTGAGGGTGCTTTTGTCTGGAGAGTACGCAAGCCAGTCAAAATGTACAGCCTTTGGGCAGGCAGAGCCAAAGAGCTCCACCTAGTGATACCCACAAGTTCTTCTGAGGGTACTACTCAGCAAGGAGAAATCAAGACCCACCTTTCACAGAGGAGGAGAAGGAGAAACAGACCTTGGAAATAAAATGCAAAGGAACAAGTGACAGTGTATGGGGCGTCAGACATGTGTAAAATAGGCTGCGAGTACCTGCCCCGATGGTTGTTTGATAACCAAATATTTCCTTTTGAAATGTTTTATGTTCATGAAACAGAAGTAGCACCTAAGTAATCCTTTATTACATGACACACTGTATACTGATATATTTGTCACTCTGTTTTATAGGTTGTGTCATCTTTGTGGTCACAGGATATGTATTATTTGGTAAGTTCAGTTTGCAGTAATTTATGGTGGTTTTTTTTCTTACTGGAATTTAGGAAAGATTTTGTAATGCAGCAATGATATTGGGTTCAGAAAAAATAAAAAAAACCAAATAAAAACTGTTTTGGAAATGAAGTATACATTTGTGTATGTGCCAGAGAGAGAGAGCGAGAGACTGAAGGTACAAGGAATGGGACAAAGCCAGAGGGGTCTGGGGGTGTAGCTCAGTGGTAGAGCATGTGTTTAGCATGCACAAGGATCTGGGTCTGAACCCCAGCACAAGGAAGGAAGCAAGGAAGGAAGGAGGAGAGAAAGAAAAAAGAATTTAAAAAATTTAGCCACAGTACCATTATCACACCTAGAAAAAGCCACATTAATACTTTAATGGAAGGAAGGAAAGAAAGAAAAGAAAAGTGAAAATAAAAAGGAAAGGAAAGAAACAGGAAGACCTCAAACCAGCATTTACTGGACTACTCAAGAAGGTGAGGTAGCCAGGCATGGTGGTACACGCCTGTAACCCCAGCACTCAGGAGGCTGAGGCAGGAGGATCACCATGAGTTGGAGGCCAGCCTGGGCTACATAGTGAGACCCTGTCTAAAAAGGAAAAACAAAAAGAAAAACAACAACAACAACAACAACAACAAAAGAAGGTCACATTCCATGGGGTAAGAGCAAAACTAGGTTTGGGTGAGAACAAAGCTGGATTCCTGGTCTGTTTCTATATATTCTTAGAAGGCAGAGATGGTAGCCATTATTAGACAACCAAAATACAGTCTTCCCTGATGACTATGAGTTACATCATGTATGGAATTGGGCAACTTGTGCAGGCAACAGATGGCAACCTCAGAAATAGTGTGTCTGACAGCTAGATGTGGGTGTGTATTTAGCTGGAGTCAGTACATGATTAAATAAGTATGTATTATTAGATGTAACACATTTATCCTCTTTATTCATCTTGGGAATATTTTAATTTTCACTTAAAAATCATCCAAATTCTAAAACAATAACTATTATATTTGGGTTACAAAGATGTTTTAGCTTTGATGTTAGTATGTGTCCTGGATTATTTTGTTCTATCTTTTCTTTGAGGGATTTGCTATTTTTTGGTTTTGTTTTTTTTAGTACCAAGGATCAAACTCAGGACCTTACGCTTGTGAGGCAGGCGCCAGCACCACTGAGCTAAATCATCTTGTCCTGGATTGTTCTGAAGCAGTCCCAGGCATCTTGTCACTATCTGAACCATGGTTTGGTTATGTTGGAGTGTTTCCCAAGGGTCATTATGTTGGGAGCTTAGTCCTCAGTGTGGCAATAAGGGAGCTGGTAGAACATTAGGAAATGGAACATAATGGGAGGTAGTTAGGTTATTGGGGGCATTGCTGTGGCAGGAGATTAATGTAGTTCATGAAGGACCCTGGCAAATTCTCACCAGAGTGTGTCATAATAAAGCAAAACCACCCATGTGTTTGGCCCTTTTCTGCATGTGGCTGCTTTGCTTTCTGCTTCCCTGCTATGCTGTGACGTGCCAGAGAGGCCCACGGATGGAGCTGCTTGATTTGCACTTTCAGCCTCCGAAGTTGTGAGCTAAATAAAATTTTCCTTATAAATAAATACAGCCCAGATACTGTATTTTGTTATAGGCACAGAAAACAGACTAAGACAATCTATAAAACAATCTAGATGTAGATATTTTTTGATCATGGCTAGTTGGAGTTCTATATGCCTCACTTATCTGTATGTCCAATTCTCTACCTCTGTCTGGGAAGTTTTCCACTATTACTTCTGTGAACAGTTTTTTTATGTCAATTGTGCTTTCTCCTATTTTTTCATGGACTCCTATCAGTCTTATGTTATTCTTCTTTGCATGGTCTAGCAGTTGTGGATTGATTTCTCATGGTCCCTTACTATTTTTGAGAAATCTCTATTTTCATGGTCTCTAACCATGATCCTGCCTTCTAAATCTGATATTCTATCTTCAGATTCCCTTAATCTGCTGTGGATACTTTCAATGGAGTTTTTAATCTCCTGAATATCTATTTGAATCTGTTTCATGGATTCCATTTCTTTATTATG